CATCTACAGGAAGTATTGTAGAACATTAGTTCCGACTGATGGAGGTAGATGGCGCTGCCATCAACGCGTACGAGATGAGGAGTACGGCTCTACGTACGCCAGGATCATGCCGGTGTGCCTGGAGCACACCAGATGAAGGCCTAGGATGACCATGTAGCATAGGCACAGGTGTGCGTGTGGTGGAGCCTAAGCAAAACTCAGTGTGCACAGTGGTGTGCATAGGGGGTAGGGGGGGTGTGCGCATAACGTATAATACCCGTTGGTTTGGTCTTTTCCAACGCGTCTCACAAGAATAACAAAGACGAGCGCGAAAGTGCGAGAGGGAACTTTCCCCTGGGTTAAAAGGAATTTTACATTTCAGTTTTATCTCTTTTCAAGATCCTGCTTACAGAGGAGTCGTTTCCCCTGAGTTTCAGATCATAATCGGGGATTCCCCTCTTTTCCCCCGTTTTTTCCCCTCTCTCAACCTGTCAGAAGACCCCTCAGGTAAAGATTAGGTGAAAAAGCGGTTAAATATAGGTGAATGAGGGGGTAACTTTTTGTAAGGGTGGGACACAACGGTAAAAAAAAAGTGTAAAATTCAAGGTCACGAGTATTGAGATTTGAGTGCGGCACCACAAGTAAAAGTGGTGTCAATATTCAACAGTCTTGCACGATACCTATAAGTGTACTTTTTTATGATGAAAGAAGGGACGAACACCGGCGCCCTTGAAATGTCTGAAATGAAAAGTTAGTTCTAGCTTTTCACTCCGTGTTTTCTTTTCTTCTGATTGTTTGCAGAGCAAATTCGATATCGATTTGTCCGCTATGAAATTTGGCATGCGAATGGATTTTCTCGTTCTTTCCATCGAGAAATGAGTCGTGGCTATCGAGATTCCAAGTGTGACCATGTTTATTTTAAAGATTTGGTAAAACTGACTCTTACTTTTACGCGAGAAGACCTACTATAGTCGGTCTTTCGCGGTCTATGGAGAACCTCGTCCGCCACGTTTAACCCTTTCGTGGGCAGTGGGAAGCACACTTCCTAGAAAACGTTCCACCCTTTCCGTGCTCTGGGAGGTCTGCGTTAAGGAAAAATTTTCCCAAGAAAGGGCTAATTTGACGTCGTTTCGACGGCATGCATAAAAACGTGCATGCGACACCCATTAGTCTGATGTCATTAAGAGGAGGGGAAGAGAAAGGAAGTAAAAGAAAAGAAAACGGGAGAGAGATAATGCTTCTTTGGAAACCGATAGTTCTTTCATCCCTTTTAGAGTCTCAAGAGGATGGGGCATTTCCCTCATACAAAAAGCAGGAAAAGAGCAGTCCTTCACAAGTTCCTTCACTGACTTGCTCCAGGAACACTTATACAGTGTTTTTCACTTGAGTTAGACATTTTTTCACTTGACTTCGATAACGGTGCATAGTGAGGGTGATATAGCGGATCGACGCAGAAACTAGGAGTTTAATTCTCAAGTGCAGATGCCGTGATTGGCATTGGCGACAACGATGATGAATAATTTCCTGCTGAAGAGAGGAAAATCAATATAAACCTTCCCAAATACACAATATATTGAAATAATAATTTAATGCAGTGAAAAAAGGCTTTCGTGTCACCCAATACTGTTTTCCTTAATAATATTTCAATAAAACAGGTGAAGTTTTGGGCATCGTTCCTGGGTTCTGAAGTATCATTCCCCACTCCGAACTCACGTAGGCTAGATTAGGCCTTTCTAACGTAGATCTGGGATTGTCCATCGAAGTCCGATCAAATGTTTCTACATCGTTGAGACAAGAATCTGAAAACTTTGAGCCTCTTTTATTTAAATAGACGGCAAGGAAGGTCTCCCGTTGACAACGTGGTTATGCTTGCGATTCATCGTTTCCAGCATATAGTTTGATTCTTATGAAAAAGCCTAATATTGGAAAGAGAGAAAGATGTCGCTAGTCACCATGGGCACCAGCGCCCTCGCCTCCTCTCTGAATACCCCGCGCATCGGTGTCTCAGTCAAGTGAAAAATTGTCTAACTGAAGTGAAAAACACTGTAATTCAAAACAAGGTTCATAATCTTAGTATAATATGCGAAGTTGAGAAAATTTGACATTTTCTTCCTCTGCGCTGTGGAACACCATCTTCAGTTCCGACTTCGTTGCTGCTCTCAGTGTTTCTACGGGGCTTCTTCAATACTTCGGGGCAGGAAATGCATAAACTGCACACAAGGATAGGGGTGCTCAGACTCTTGAGTCACTGGGGCTTCACAGTCTGTCTGCCTTGAAGCCACGAGGACGCGGATAGTAAAATCGAAAGCTTTCTAGCGGTAAAAGAAAGAGTATTCCAACCGGAAACCGATCACACCCAATTCGTACTTGTGTGTGACTTATGGAGTTTGGATTTCTCAGGATTTTAAATATTTTCAAGTTTCCTTGGGCCACTCTTAGGCATATTAGACCAGTCATAGCACAAAAATATCACGACGCATGAATCTGAATTTTAAAGGTCAGACCGAATGTGCACCAATGGGAGTCCATTGACCAGCCTGCATATTAGTTGGATGGACTTGAGGAAATGACTCACGGAAGTCTTGGAGTGAGCAACAGACTTTCTTCCACTTGGCATCCGTGCACTTCTCCATCACGACTGACACTTTTCCCGCTGTCGGCAGATATGTCACAGCAAACTCCAAACTCCCCAAATTCTGTAGATGGTCAATATTTTATTTCCTATCGTTTTCATGACTTCTTCTCTTTGTATTTTATCTGCTTTGGAGGAAATAAGCAGAGACTGTTTGCAGGAGTCAATCTTCATTTCCCAAAGAAATTCATAACGTATATTCCCCCTCCCCCTCCCCCCAAGCTGCTTATATCATAGCATAGACTTTATGCCCTTAAACCATAATCATATTCATAATCATTTGTTCGTAGTCCATTCAGTTATCTACATATATATTACGCAGTTAGCCGAATCACCTAACTATGAAGGTCGTAGGAAGGTGAGAATGGTCTCATATTAATTGTCACGGTCTGTAGGCTTGCACAAAAAATATAGCATGTTAATTGATTGATTAATTTAAAAATTGGTTAGTTTCTTTCCTGATGCTACTTCTTTAGTGCTCTCTCTTGGATCGGACTACGCAGTTTCTTGGATCTCAACGATGCCCTTTACATATGATTACTAATTGAATTTCTCTCACTGCTAATTAAAAATTAACTCTGAGGGAAATACTTTCGAAGTGGACTGCGTCGAATAGTACATGTGGTATATCAATCGCAAGTTCTTGATGAGTAGATTGTGTTAGTGCAATTTTAATGCTAAGTGTGGATTGTAGGCTAGGTAAACGTGGAGTGGCGTGAGAGTGCAAATTCAACATGGGGGTAGCCACGTTGAACGAAGGGCGAGAGCGCCCGTTTTCGTTGGTACAGAAAGCCTTTTGCCCTGTAATCCCCAATGAATAACTCAATCATCTGGATGCTAGATATTCAGCCTATTTCACCAGGGCTTTTGAGTTTTCACTATAAGCCCTAACTTACTAACCTCAGAGAAGACAGGATAAACTCAGATCTGAGCCGCAGTGTTTCTAAGTTTTGCTGAAAGAACGAGAAAGTCAATCTAATTTGGAGGACGAAGGGTCGGTTGGGTTAGAAAATAATCGCGACCGAAGGTCGCAACCCTTTCCTAACCCAACTGACCCATCATTCCCAAAATAAAAGGTTGACTTTCTCACGAATTCACCTTTGACGCCGAAATGGGGAAAAAAATCATTGAGGTCCATTAACCGTGCCAGTGCGATGAAAAATCTCACCGGACAACGAAGATGAGACCAGAAAGGCATAAGGAAACCTGACTAGAGTACAGTGCGCATGCCTGGGAAGGTCATGGTACACCTACCAGACGCAATGGCCTGGGCCGGGGTAGTTCACTTCAGAAGTCATCGCAACCCGAAATTTTTTGTCAGTTGAAATTTTGTCACCCGCGAAGAGGACCCCACGGGACGCGGGTGTGGTCAGGAATCAATATATCATATTTTGCTCTTCAAAAGACTTTGTTTTTTTTTTTTGATGGAGACTGAATTAATGACATTTCGCAAATTAGCAGCAGACAGGAAGAATCAAGGAAATCTGGGAATTTTAGCAAATTCAATTCCTTTTGGGCATCTATACTGAGAATCCTTTTCACACATTCCGAGCAGTCGATGATGATTTACTATACACTGAATTTACGCTTTTAATTCAAAACTAAGGATCCCGGTAAGGGAAGCTACCTTGAAGACGACCGAAACTGTCATCTCAAGAGGTAGTAATCGCCGAAATTATTAATAACATCGAATATGAAGGTTAGAAGTAGATTCCGATAGATTCTGACGACTGGCGATTACAACGGGGAAGAAAATCGTTTGAAAACTCCATCATGTGGAAACATCGAGTGGGTGAAGGAATCTTCAAAGGCAAATAATCCCAGATGGAAAAACCGCGATAAAATATCCCACCGATAAAAAAAAATTCCCTTCAAAATATTCCACGGATTAAAAAAAGAAAACCTTCAAAGCATTCGAACAACTTCTGAGAACATGATCTTTCATTTCCGGACAGTTCAAAGTTTTACTCAAATGATGGACATCTCCTCACATTTATATTATTTCTCAATGTTAGGCTACAATCAAAAGTGATGAGAATGCCATCTCGTGTTTAGAATCAGCGTTTAAAACAACCCCGCATCCAAACACCACTGAAAATCGTGGCCGATGACTTCAATGAAAACATACGTTCCCTTGGCCGTATGAAGCAATATGTCAATCGACCCACCAGAGCTGCTGCGATCCTCGATCTACTCTTCAGCAACGTACCATTTCACACGACTATCATCGCTCCCCTAAGCAATTGTGACCATCACGTGATAAGGTGTGGTCCAAGGCTCAAGCATGAAAAAGAGCATGTTCCTTTAACAGGTAAATTTCCTAAAACCTGTTCTGGTGACCATGCCAACGAATCAAGTTGAGATTTCGATGAACGAAGAATGAAAAGGATGTCGATCGTAGGTGGCATCAACTGCGCAAGTTCCATCACTATCTAGCAAGGACTCATCCATTGCTTCTATTTCTCAATTCTTTCACCCGCCCTTCGTCTATTAAGGAGTTATTAAAGGAAAACGGTATTTTCAATGAGAAATAGCCGATATGAAGATAACGAGGGATAATAACTTTTTACTTCAAAGAGCAGCAGTCGTCTATATTTAACCGTATCGTGAAAAGCCCGCATTGCAAAATGAGCCTGAAAAGTACATCCACACTTTCTCGTCATCTTTTCAGTTCTGTTTGTCGTATATCTGCAACGCACCTCTTGATGAGGACGAAGAGTTAGGGAATAGTCGATAGGAACATCGGAATCCGCTAGATTGGCGACGTCTCGCAAGCTCAGGGTTGATACCCCCAGAACCGTCGGATTTGCAAATCTGTCTTTGTCGTATGCCAATATGGTCAGGGATTGGTTCTGTCAACAGAGCAGTCAAAAGAGTAAATCAAGATAATTTTCAAGTTAATAAATAAATTATGCCTGTAAATGGAATCCGGTTAAGTGGAAAGGCAGAGGCAAATGAGAAACGCATGACACAAATAAAAGAGATTGCTGACTTTGAAGTCGTTGGAAGATATGGGGAAGGAGAAGCTCTGATTAACGATGGGGTTCCGGGTTTTCTTCTCGGGTTTTGTCATGAAGGATGCAACCGTAGTCTTGGATTCCTTCTTGAAGGACCAGCGAGATCGATCGATCCTTAGCTCGAAGTACGGATCGCACCCTCCAAGGTACCTCCTCGATGCCAACTCCTCCCCTGACTAATCATTAAGAAAGGCCATATTTTAACAAGTCATTTAAAGCAATTATGAAGCCAGCCAGGTCTTCCTCACGCGGAATAGATTTCGAATTTATAATGTAAAAATTTCGAGACTCCTAAGTTGCACTTACTGTGTAACGCATCGTTCAATAATTTCTGAAATCATGGGGCGATACATTGAAGTTCTTTGCGTTCATTCACACTTTCCTTAAACATGTTCAAATATCCTATTCGTCTCAGCTTTTAAAGGCTAAAGGTAAGCAAAATTGAAAGGAAAATAGGAAGGCAAAATTGAGTACCGATACAGGATTAAAAAGAGATGCACCTTCCACCCTTCCACAGCATAAACTATAAGAGCTAGGGGAAAAAACTCATATCATGAGAAAGAGCATTCATTTTCAAATCTAAAAATGTATTTCTAGTAATTTGTGTGAACCTTGGCTGTGTGAAAGAAATCAAAATCTGAGTCTTTCGGCATTTGCTGTATGGTCAAAGCTTCGAAAAACAGGGCTTCAACAGGCAGAAGCAGATCTTTTAATCTTTTTCAAAATCTATGAATGGGTAACGAGTTGAGCTCTGGCATCACAAGCCCAAAACGTAATTGCACGGATGCGATCAATGAATTTACGTTTTTCAACATCGTGCGACATCAAAAGCGACAAACTGGTATTGAATAGAACCAAAATTGAACGAGGATTCTGAAAAAATTTTCTTTTATTTTTAGCTCCTATAGTTTGAACTGTGGAGAGGGGCTATCAATGTGCACACCCGGTACAGTTAGGCAAGTAAAATTCAAAGGCTTACAAAAGTATTATATATAGTATAAATATATAAGTATTATATATTTATAACTCGGAGTTCCAGTGAAAAATATAAACAACCTTGATGAGGACTTGAAGTTTTCCCCGCTTCTCATTGTCCTCGGTCTTCACATATTGGACTGAAAATAGAACGCGCCCTGGTCCCTTCCCCTCCGTTTCCTTGAGTGATGTGGTCGGAGTGCCCATATCTAAGCTGTCGTTGCTCTTCTCGATGAAAAAGGAAAAAACATCAGTGAGAAGAAATTTGAATGTGCGGAAAAATCTGTACATATCACTCGCGGTCGACAAAGAGTGATATTCTTTAAACAGAATGCGGGAATGGTATTCTTTTCCTTAAATACCTTGTTGAAGGAGGAATTGTTGGACCAAAATCCACTCTCGGATCTGGAATGATGAGGCTCTCCTTTCTCTATTAAGCCGTCTTCAACGTAAGCCGAGTTGAAGGCGCTTGAATTCTTCAAACACCCATTCGCTTCAGAGTCCAGGTAAGCTTTCCTCTTCTTCTCTGCGTAATAACATGATCGTGAATGCATGAAATCGTACAGGATTGAAACAGGACGTTCTGTATTTTCATGGCCGTAAATATCTCATCATGGAAATCTTGATAACTGAATTGGAGAACATTGGAGAATCAGCGCTCAGAATTCTAGATAAAACTCAAAAACTTCCAAATTATCTCGTGAAAAATTTCTCCATATTTTACCCATTCGCAATTCTTAAGGTCTCTCGTGACGACTGAATTTTAAATGCTTCCGTTAAGGACAAAGGAGGAAAACAGCCAAATCAACGTCACTATTTCAGGTTGACGTCACAATGTCGGTGTCACGGAGTCATGAAAACTGCAGAGACCCTGTCCCAGTCTCTATGTAATGAGATTATTGAGAGAGTATCGATCATTATGCAGTATTCATCTCTTTTCAGGGCACGTAAGGGTGATCACCTCGTCCAGAGAGATGGATTTCGTGCATATTTCACGATCCCATGCAAGGGGACTTGGAGTCTGAGTCAGGCGAAATGGATTTTACCATAAATAACGACTGGCTCGATCGTTGATTCTCAGCTGAAAGATTCAACGGTTTTGACGTCAAAGGAATGATGGAAGGACTCACTATTGTCGATGTAGTTTCGGATCCAGCAATTTGGACCGAATATGCAGGCTAACAAGATGAAAACCAGAGAGAGGAAGAGGCCTGCGAGGAAAATGAGGCCCAATTTCTCCCACGCCGACAGCATTTCCGATTCCTCCGAACGTTCACGTATTTCTCCTGTTTCTCGATTCCGATGTCATCGTCGTTCCCCTTAGACTGCCAATAAATTACAAGGAACGGGACGCGTCTGTAATGAATTGGCATCGAAGAGTCAATGTTCAAATGAAGGACTCATGGGGAATGTGGTCCCGCTAAAAAGAAACCCTTAATTAGTGATGTCTACGATCGACCTGCGATCGCTCATGATGAAATGGCAGTCTCAGACGGAAAGCTCGCTGAGACTATCATATCATCGTCAGAGAGATTAGTTTTGAGGTTTTGTCTCCCCAATACAGTCGAAATGAGAGCACTTCTACGGGCCGTGGTAACCAGCCCTTGCGATCGGGGAGACGAATCGAGCCGGAAGGAACGACGCTAACCAGATTGGAAACACCCTCGTATCTCCAAATCACACGAAAGATTCCTAAAATGTCATCAAAGATACCAGGTTTTTTTCGACTCAAACTAAAAGATAGAATAGGAGAGAACTCGTTCGGCTGGATCACTGATGTACACCCTTCGGGAGGAGGCTCCATTACCCCATGCTACATTTTGATTAACCCATTTACCTTGACGCCCGGGAATATTCTCGGGCGGAACATTCCGTGCCATGAACGCGATGTCCAAGAATACTCGTTTCGAAAGTTTCGTCGTTCGGCACGACGCCCAAGTAAACTCGGGAAGGTCCCAGGAATTCTGATACGTGACGAGGAATGCCCCAAAAATTTGCGGGCTGGGGTACGTCCGGTCCATTTCAATCTCCAGGGAGAAAGGGTTAATTGAAGAAGTCGCAACCCCAGGGAGTTCTTTCATCTCCACCCAAGGTATACTTCTAATTGGTCTAATTTGAGTTCGGGAAATTCTCGAGCGGACGTANGGGGGGGGGGGGGGGGGGGGGGGGGGGGGGGGGGGGGTGGGGGGTGGTTGCGATGAGGCTGACCAGCCTGGAGGAGGCCGTTGTCACAGGCCAAGCCCCTCCCCTCTTTCTCGTCCTGCGTACACCCCTGAGAGATGGTCATGCCTAAATTGACAAAGTTGACTGTATTCCTTAAGTGGGCACATACTATACTATTACCGACTTTTTTCCGTCGTGACAGCGGGTTGCCGCTTTGCTTCTCTTGACCTTGTAGCACCGAAGAGCATATCGTCATATCATAAACGATCCGATTGCACCATGATGAAAACGATGGTCTGACCTTAGGAGAAACCTTTGAAAAATGGTTTCCCATACGCATACGCATACCTGTAATCCCTTCTCACTTGCCTGCCGTCGCGTTCCCGAGTTGACTTCCTTTCTCCATGCACTTCTACGTCCGCTCGAGAATTTCCCGAACTCAAATTAGACCAATTAGAAGTATACCTTGGGTGGAGATGAAAGAACTCCCTGGGGTTGCGACTTCTTCAATTAACCCTTTCTCCCTGGAGATTGAAATGGGCCGGACGTACCCCAGCCCGCAAATTACCCAAAAGTCTGGCTGATAAGAAACTTTGCATGAGGTTTTTTCCACTTCTGGTCTGAATACCGCAAATTTGATGCATGAAGAAATGTATAAATTCACAAAAATTACCATTTCTCCCGCAAGTATGGAAGCAGTATGACAAGACGCAAAGAAAACCTACGTGATGACCTCCATCGAAGTGAAGTCTTACCTCTGCTGCGTGTCTTGTCGAGGTCCGACTCAACGCCTTCATTATTAGCGAGAGACAAGGAAGTGTCATCTATTAGCCCTCTCTTTGAACAAACTAATTTTTCGCTCGTGATTTTTCGTTTTTTTCGCTGGTAAATCTCCTCTGCAATCAGCGTTTACAATAGCATTTTTAAATAAAGAAAAATTCCGGAATTTTTCCTGATTCCGCACATTCCAGATACCCTCCACCCGGCCATGTTAAAATTTGCGCGCTATCTTCATAGTCTCCCTCTGCATTCGACAAGACGTTATTCAAGGCAATGTTTCTCCCGCCGATCCCACATCCTGGGGTAAGTAATGATCTATCGATTTCCTGGTCTCCGGCCAACAATAGCCTCCCCCCTACACTGCTCGTCATTCTGGGGCAGTTATCCCAATACATATTTTAGTGAAAGAAAGGAAAGAGAGGAGAGGGGAGGTCTAAATCTGCCCTGATATCTGCTAGAACTACACAGATCTCCGACGGATAGAGCAATTCACGCAGGTATTGCTAAGTGGTCTCAGGCCCCACAATATTTTCAAAAATCCAATGGCGGAGAACAGAAGGAAAGGCAATGTCACTGTCAAGTAGCTGCTAAATACGATTGTTCATTTCTCATCTCCAAAAAATGTTGGCTTTTGAAATCTCATGCTAAAAGTGGACCTGACTTGCACTTTTTTATGGAAGGAATTTCAGAAATGTAAAAAAGGCTACAGTTTCATTTGTTGCCCAATATTGAAGCAAGTTTTGTTTACATTTTTTCACCAGGCAAATCATTTGAGCTGAGTAATTACTCTTTTGTTATAACTCCCACTCAGGCTCATGCAGCTACCGAGATTTTTTCAGCAGAATCCATATTTCAGCCGCACTGCTCCTTTTCATTGAAAACAGCGAAGGAGAGTTATTTATTTCAGCAGAGAAGAAAGACGTACGAAATAGAGCGAGCATCCTGCTGCCACAGAACTGCAGCGTCATCGTTCCCATTTAGTCTTACACAGCCATATTCATCGCATTCGTGGCCGAGTGCACCATCAAGTGCGCAACAGCGCATTACGTAGCACATCTGTTAAAAGCCGTCTTCCCGAGTCCTCTCAGACTGCAGTTAAGACGAACAAGAAGGAAGCGTGACGATTTTTCAGGAGAGAAGGAATTTAAAAAAAACCCGAAGCAAACAAACTCGTTCGCACAAGGTGGGCCAAGTAAATCCGGACAGTTTTCACCGATACACTACACTTCACTCACTGCATATATTTTAATGCATTTTGCGGCTTTTGAAAGAGGAATGAATAGCTTCAAATACCTTCAACGGTTTTTTAAATTCGGGAGCTCATATGAACAAGAAACAAAAGCTGTGTTGCCGCACACTAGGACGCAGATGACATGTGACCTGATGCCACCCTTCCATCCCCACAACTAAAAAAAAAAGTTTTCGTTTCTTGTTCATATAAGTCCTGAATTTCTGAAACTATTGAAGATATTTGAAACGTAAATTCACCACTTTAAAGCTAAATCATTCCCCTCTCGAATGCCGCAAACCATTAAATGCATTAAAATATATGCAGTGAGTGCAGTATAATGTATCATTAAAAACTGTCCTTTATAGGCCCGCCTTGTACTGATACATGCAGTGGTTTGTCTGAACCTCAATACGACCATCAATCCTGAAGAAGAGGAAAATCTTGAGTTTTGGGCTACTTTCTGCAATAATCTGATCGAAAATATGCAGAAAGAAATTGAACTTCTACAGACTCACCGGAACAAGGAATATTCAGATGCACCTTTTTACATCTCAATTGATATCTTTTTGCTTCAAAGCCTCAAGAACTTTTTATCATGCAAAATTACCTAACGGCACATATGTCTGATAGGAGAGTTGGAAAGTAAAAGAAATGCAGAACAAGGCATTCACTGTCACTAGAAATGGTGGACCCCACAAATCAGTACGTTCGCTTCTACATTTTTACCCAGCAACAGCTGGGACGGGCTGCAAATCTAATGAAATCGGATCTGAATGTCTTCATGGGGGACTGTTCCCCCTCGATTGAGACGATTCGGAGGTGGATGCGGCGTTTCACTATGGGGTGTCGTTCTTTTGAAGATGAGGACCGTCCTGGGCGCCCACCAACTGTGGTGAAGCAGGACACAATTGTCCTCCGTTGAAACTTAGTCGAGGACGACCCAAGAACAACCTTCCGTTATTTACTCATATCCACAGAGTTGGATCTTTCAGTTGGCACCACCCTTTCTCTTCTTCATGAATATTTTGACAAGAGAAAGATTTACGCCCGTTGCGTCCCTTCAACGCCGCATCCACCTCCGAATCGTCTCAATCGAAGGGGAAGAATTCCCACATGAAGATGCTCAGATCCGATTTGATTAAATTTGCAGCTCGTCCCAGCTGTTGCTGGCAAAAATGTAGAAGCGAACGTATTGGGGAAGTCCGCCATTTCTGGTCACAGTGAAAAACCAAGCGCTCTTCTGGAAGTTCCTGAGACACACGGAACGGGTCTAGAACCTTGAAAACGTCAAGGAAGACTGAGCTTCGATGCAAATCGAGGGTATTTAAATAAGAAAATTCTCTGAGGAAAAGAACCCATGTTTTTTTTTTAGGGACGGCAATTACTTATTAAACAGCTCTCGTATGCGCGTTTCGGGTTATACGTGCTTTTCTGTACTGGGTGAAAACATATGAGACAGACATTCTCCGTGAGGCCAATCCACAGATATTCCATCTGTCCAAATCAAATAGAAACATATTACTCCTGTGGGCTCCGGATATTAAGTAGTTTTCAGCACTTACTGCAACAGATTAGCATTAGAAGGAGAGAGAGGCAAGAAGCACACCTTCTAACCAAAACAAGTCAACTTGAGAGAGTACTTTGGCTGTTTGGTTGGTCTGCTCGTCCAGTAGCTCGTGAAAAGATGAAAACCTGACCTGTAGACTTCCACTTCGAATACGTTGGTCTCTTACGGATGCGATGAGGCAGACTGATGCATATTTCAAAATGAAAGAAGTATACCAAACTTGGAGCTATGAGTGAGCCGCAGGAGTTTTCAATGTGGAAAGTTGTATGGGAAAGGCCTACCGTATTTACCCAAGGATAAAGCGATGTTTTTCGGGTATCGGGGCTTCCAAAATCAATTCTCGCCATTCGAGTAAACACGGTATACTGCGCTACGATGATTGCAATCAAGCGCATATATCATGCCTTATTCAGAAAATTAAAAGATGAATTACAACTTTCCACGACAAGGAGATTATTAATTGGCCTACTTTGTTTGCCAGATGATTCACCTTCAGCAAATGGTTCTCCCTGGACACTTGTATTGGCGAACAGGGTTTCGCCAGTGTTTAACACACACACAGCTCGCATGCTAGTATCTGGCAAGAAGACTGGCTCCCTCCGACTAAAGTCATACTTTTATCTGCTTCCCATTTCCCGCATTGAATTGAACGACATGATAGGCGCAATCTGCAGCGATGACGTCGTTCCTCGCTTCGAACGACAGGGAGTCCTTCGAGGATTTCCGTCTACGCATAAACAAGATCGCTAGGAAACACGATCCTACATGTCGGTTATGCACAACAGCCAACGTCATTAACCCTCGGACGGGCAAAACAACAGGGCTCATCAGAATAGACTCCCCAAATTAGGCTGCTCGTAACTCTAGAACTAAAAACTGTAGAAACGTAAAAGAAGCTTTCGCACATTCCTTTGACATTACTCTTTATTTGTAACAAAACGTCAGGTTGAAATCATTTTCGAACGCCTTTAAACTGTTCTCCCCTACATCGAGACATTCTTGACAGCACTGAGTCATCACTGAATGCTCCATTAAATATGTCCATAGGTATATTGCCTCAATTTTCCCTTCGATGCGTGTCTGCATTATATCCATGCTTCTTGGCTTAGTCACGCAGACAATCGCCTTTAAATATCCCAAGAACCAATAATTGGCAGCAGTCAAGTCGTGGAAGCCATTCAATTGATCTCGACTCGACTGTTGCCAGGTATTAGATCTGAAGATATTGAAGATTGACTCTGAAACGCGATCATGCCAGATGCCACTGGATATGGTTTTCTCGAGCAAATCAGAGACGATATCATTAAATACTGTAGATACTTCCGTTTCTATATAGCACGTCAGCAGCACCAAAAAAGAAAGAAAAATCGACCAATTTTCAAGCTCAGTTTTTCGAATCATCTTGGTTAAGTCGAACACCGGCTTCATATACAGGGTGGTCTCAGAGTGATTTCCCCCAATTGAATTGCATGCGTTTCGTTAACTGCATATTACTGTACTTACATCGTCAACTCTTTTTTTTTTGTAGGAGTTAAAGCATATTTTTTTAATGATATATGCAGTTATTCCATACACAGCAATTAGAGAGATTAAGAACTAAATACTTCGAAAGGTGTCATTCGAACAGTGCATGATTGCTCACGATGGTCAATTTAAGCCTCTTGCGTGCATTACATCGCCGATTTTTAGGGAGGGCACAGGGTATTCCTGCAGCCATTCCAGTTTCTTGGGATCATGGCTGTAAAGGGCACACAAAAGAAAATGAAGCCTCGGCCAGATTTCATCACGTCCATCCGAAAGCTAAAACCACCACGATCGTGTTCCACAAACATGAAAAAGTTGCTGCGAACGGCATGGTCGCCGCCAGGATGGATGATACAGCTGGACTTCCCTTTTGAATATTTTGTCAAAATGCACCACTCGTCGACTTTCATAAACCCCAAAACCACGGAATAGATTATAGAACAAGAGCCTTAGGGATGTGACCTGAATCGATTTTTCCAGAGAAGGTCATCTGCCACAGCGATGAACGATGGCATCGGACCTTAGAACATGCACTAAAATCACCAAGAAAATTCCTCGTGGTACCCGAAACACACATATCTTTAAAAGAAAATAATACGAGCACTAGAACACCAGAAATGAATGAAAAGTGAAGTGCTGGAATGTTACCGAGGATGACGACGAGAAAACGGGATGGGCAAGCAGGCCTTCACGGGATCAGTTAGGAAACTGGAGATAACAGACGGGAAACACTCACATCGCATACCCTCCGAGTAGGACGTATTTGAACGCAGGTGAACCCGGATCATGCGCTCTCTGCCAATCTCTCTCTCCCACCTGCCTCTTTCCCACTTTTTTTTATATTACTCTCTGCATTCGATAACATCCCGTCCCTGTGCAGAGATACGGAGTACCGCTAAACCGCGTATCTCCTTCGCGTAAATCTCACGGCACGTCGGAAGGGCGTTCGAATTGCATCCAGAGACCACCGAGTAGTCCATGGAGAGCAAAATTGCGGCTTTCTTTTCGAAATAGGGAAGGAACTCAAGCGTTTGCATGCAGTAAACAACTTTTTCATCTATATGGAGCACAAGATGTATGGCTTTTACTACCCTTTGCCTTTTTCCCTCAGTAGTACAGTATTTGAATCGGAGTGAAATCCGAGCCATCATCGCGAGGTTAGATTAAAGTATGTCCCCCATCCATGGGCAGAAATTCGAACTCGGCGTTCCCAGGTTGTTTCTCCGGCGCCATCTCCGATGCCATCTCTTCAGAGAGATGGCATCGGAGAAGAAGGCTGGGTGCATGACAACCAAATTTTCCTCTCGGATTTATTTTCCTCTTTTCCCCTCCGCCCTCTCTTTCCCTCTCTTTTGAATTATGCGATCCTTTTTTTCCTCCGTGGCCTTAAGAATGTCTCGAGGAGCCTTCCCTGCGTCAGAGAACGGAGAAAGCTGTGGCAAGAGAAGAAAATTGGCTCGACTTTGTCTCACATTCGTCTCGTATTCACCTGCAGACTCATACCATCATCGTTTAGTTATTTTTCCATACTCCTCTCAAGCTCTCGGTACGATTCGCGTCGGGACGTCTGGGCTAAGTGCATTTGACAACAATAAAGGGTACCTCTCTGACAGCTTTAACTTTAATGACAGAGGCGGTAGAAGGTGAAACGAAAGCGGATACTCCCTTGGTAGGGTAAAGCGGCGAAACCCGAACGCCTTCGTCAGGGTGAGGGTTGAGTCGAACGCACGGAAAAATTCTCGTGATTTCGTCTTTCTACGCACCCTGTGCGGTATACGTGTATCTCATGCTCTTTATTTTACCTCTATGTATGACAGGTAAGACCATGAAAGGTTCTGGGCGACCATGCCGTTCCGTGACCGAGATCATTCCAATGTCGAAAATTGTGTGCTTGTAATCAGGTTATGGAGTAGGTACCTTGAATTCATTTTTTTCTCATGGTGTACATCACGCATGTTGCCCAATTGTCTTCTCTAGCAATTATAATAGCTGTAGATATATTTTATAGCATTCGGAGTCGAATTCCTTCCAAGATGCGAAACCTCGCGGCCGTTCGACTCTAACCGCACCTAAGCTCGTGTTACTACGATACTCGAACGTTGGTGGTCGAGTTATTCTTCATGGACTAGAGAATGCCTGCTAAACTCGACCGTCAAACGCTTTCACCCTTTGCTTGGTAGCGAGAAAATGCGTCTATGAAACTCTGTGAACCAGTAATAACGTGTTGCTTTCAAGAATGTTAACCTTAGAATATTCATTTATTATGCTTAGACACGGGGTACTTCATGTCTGGATGAATGGCAACCTCAATAGGGCCAAGGAATCAAGGAGAACTACTTCCTGGCAAAAAAGCCACAAAAAGCGGTCGCCAGCCTCAGTACACGTATGAAGCCTTACGCCAAGCTGCAGAAGCAATCCGGGAGGCATGGGACATAGAATGGCAAGTACGAGAGTTGGCGTGTCAAAATCAACCAGTCGTTTAAATGGATAAGTCACACGCTTCGAGAGTGTCAAGAAAACCCCTTCTTCATAAGAAGGAAGAATACTTGTTCAAAGATTACTTTCTATCCATGGCTGCTAGAGGGAGAGATTTTTCTGTCCTCTGGTTGGAGTACCTCGAATTTGGGTTGGGAAAAGAGAGAGTGTAGTCTAAAAACAAATTGCTGAATTAACCATTTCAGTCCTGGCGGGACTCAGAAGTTCCCACTTTTTAAACATTTTATTGAAAGACTATATAGGAATGCACGATCTTGAGGCCTAGCGGGACTTCTAAGTACCTGTGACCTCTTTTGAAATTTTTATGTTATTGGTCGATGATATTTCATTGCGGACGGTTGAATGAAGAAAATGTATTATGTCATTTATATTTCTTTGTCAAGACTGAAGGGCCGAGCAAGCTCTGTTATTTCACCCCCTTATTTCTTCCTCTTCCCATCGATCGTGTTGAAGTTTGACTTCGTTCCTCGCTTGTTCTTCAAGTGCAACCGTATCCTCTCCAGGTTGAAGTTAATCAGTCATAAATTCACCTTAAAAATCATTTGCGTCGAAATGTTTCCATCCTAAGCATGGATATTGAAATAATGAGAAAACTGATTTAAATGTTAGAATTTAAGCATATTTTAATGTACAAGAAAATGAAACCATTCGAAAAAATTTTTGCTGCGAACAGATCATGTGTATCATCGGGTTTGAAAAATAATATTTTTTTTGGCATCCATCGTGATCATTCATAGAGTAATGAATTTGAGTTTTTCTTTCAAATGTTTGCGTTTTTATTACGAGTCAACAAGAGTATGAAGATTTGTAGGATCCAGGGGCAGAGGTGCTAAAGGCCATTATGTAGCAGCCTCTTGATAGAGTTCGACTCAAGACGCACGAGTGTTCGGGTCTAGCCCCGTTCGACTTAATCCGTCAGCCTCTCATTCTAACCAAGATCACTTCTTCCGCAATATCTCGGTTGTGATATTTTAGGGGCGTTTCATTCTTGCAGCAATGCAGGCTGCAGAAAAAGACGAAAACAACGACATATGATACAATTTTGTGATCCTCAAGGGAGGTACCCCTCTCTTCGCCTCGCCTCACAACGCCATACCGAAACCCGTTCGAGTTTCGTCGCTTTACCCTACCTCGAGGCTCCATTCTGCAAACTGCTACGACGCCGATCTGCCTCCTCCGTTTCCCCATCAAAAACATCACGGTCTCTGGGTATTTCGAGTCGTTCATTGATCTGCTTCACGACACCTCGCTTGGGAGTCGCACTCGCAGGAGCTGGCGTCTCGCGGTGAGCATGCGAGAATCGCGCAGCATCGACTATGCCACTCCGTATGAGTCAGAGTCTCTCCATGAGCTCTTTAAGGTTCGAGGCACACTCTGGCGCTCGAGTGGTTCAACAACGCCAAAAACCCTGTTAGACCCTGGGTTTAACGACGCGTCTTATTCTACTCCTAGATGACTTTTTCTTTTTCTGCGGGTAATCTTCATAGGTGAAGCGTCCAAACCTCGAATTATCATAGAATCCTGAACCGTCTCGAGAAGCTCATTTTCTAAATGATGACTTGATATTGCTGACGACCCAATTGAAAAACAGTCCCACATGGAATGAGAGCTGCATACGTGTGGCACGCTCGCAAGGCACGCATTCATTGACGAAATATTCCATTCGTTTCGAATTATCCAGGCAGCCCTCTTCTTCCAACTTTCTTCGCACGTTCTCAAGCATGAATCAGTTTTCTTATCCGTGTAGAGCAGATCACATTTTATCATCTTCCGATACGTTGTCGTCGTTCGGATCGAATCGATCGGGTTTAGGATATTGGCACAGAATTGCAAATTGTTTCTCTACTTTTTCTTCCGTGAGCCACTGTGGTGACTCTTAATTGCGTCCAGAGGTCACCATCTGCATCGGTGGACCGTACCATCCATTCGAGTCAGTATTCATGCCCCACCATTACAGATTAAGATTTGAATGAAGACCGGCACCATTGAAAGAGTTGTCCAAACCTGCTGCACGTGTGGAATCATCATTCGTTCAACTTATCTCTTCACTTTGCGTACTTCGCCAAATTTAATTTACTCTAGGCATGAAATTAATTTATTCTGATTTTAGAAGTATCCTTTCCTTTTCTGCATAAAAAAAGGCTTACATGAAAAGTGCCCAGGTGGTAACTCGCAGAAACTCAGCGAGTGACCACCATTCCAGAGTTACCTCTATCCAGCATGGACTGGATAGTAGTCACAAGCGAGAGGTGACTCGCAAGTAGAAGGTTTCGAATCCTTGGAATAGGGTACTGCTCTCCTTACTCGGTGCGAAGATGAGCCGACGAGCCCGTGGAGGAGTGGTGGAGGTGGAGGTGAAAGGTGGAGGGAGGCTGCATTCAACACCTGACAATCGATACAGATGAGCCAAAAGATACATGTTCCCGGTGGGTGGGGTCAACGTCTGACTCTCATGAACGATATGGTCGAGACACGATGAGCTGCCATCAGCTGACATCATTACTGTCGCAGTCATCAGCCCCGACATGCATAAATTACCAGGAAAATATCTCAAACGTGAGGTCTAATTCGCATAGTAAGATTATCCGAGGCTACGAGAATCCGAGAATCGAGTACTGACTGGATGGTAGCCTCTTCTGGGGCATCTTTAATTCACTCGGTGAAACTCCGTGGAGAACTCTGGGTTGCTTAGGATACAAGTAATTGGTAAATGAAATAACAAGGCAATTCATAGCGGAACCGGATATAGACACGATCTTGGACTTGAAGTCTTCAAACTTTGAACTCGGAAACTGAAAGTTGAACTTTGAAGTCTGAAAAAGGTTCCCCACTTGAAAGTTGTGAGAACCTGTCTTTCATTTCCTTCCTCACCCTATTGGAAGAAGTTGAATGCACTCGTTGAAGCTTACTTGCAATCATATCGCCATATTTTCTTCATAACCGTCCTTCAAAAATTTTCTGGACTTTCTTCGGGTCTAAAGGGATCGACCCGCTTTTCTATCACTTTCAGTGATAGCCCGTACATAAACTACTCTCCTCTCTCCCCTCTTTTCTCAACAGACCATAGCTGTATGATGTGCTTTGAAAATGTAGTGATCGCTGTGAGCGATAGTGAGCGATAGCTTCTTCATAGTTTAGGGAGGAGAACTGTAATGCCTTTATGGCGGCGTTTCTTCTATTCCTGTGAGAATTTTTGGTTTTGTATCTAATTTCATCAACACTCAGAGCCACATACCTGAACATAATATGGTCGATTTGCTACGAGAAGAACTTAAATCTACTCGAACTTGACCATGTATGCGTAAATAGAAATGAATCTCTGAAAAATTATGTGCATGAAAATGTAAAAATAAATAATAATGATAATACAATATATAATTTATATATAAAATGTATGAAAGTGCAGAAAAAAAGGAAAGAAGGATGGATCCTAGTGCAGTTCTGGATGCATGCATTTTCGAGATGCACGGAGTTCACACTACCCGTAATATTGAAGTTGTTGTCACTGGAATCGTTCGAGTCTTCAGCACATTCATCCGTAGCACTATAACTCCTCTCGCTCTCTCTCTTTCACAAGATAGGCTGAAGCAGAGAGCAAGATGACAGAAAGAAAATCCTTATATCCCCAAATCCCTTACCAGGTGAAAGCAAGAAAATTGCCTGATCTCCTCAGCTTCTTCCTCCTCAGTTGCTCATTAATCATGAAGAGATGAGATATAATAATTGAGAGATAATAATTCCTCCTTTTCGCAGTGAATCGACTACGCGTTATTGCTGCCAAGCAACAAAAACCCATCCACATACGTGTTCATCCATGCAAACTAAACACATTACGCTGTTTGCTGTACGCAAGAAAAATAATTACGTTAACAACTACCATATGAACTGCAATTTTTAGTGAATTTTTAAAGAAGTGGCTAAAATGGCTGGGCCCGGCCATTTTAACTAGCTAATGTCATAGCCATGGACCATTTTTAAACGCCTGGGATTCAAGGAGCTAATTTTATTTTAAAAGCACGTGTATTCTTTCTGTTCATAGGTAAAGTTGGCTGGAGAGACCGATTAAATCGGTTAATTTTCCAAAAGAGTAAAGAAATTCAGAGGAAATTGTGGTCAAGGTAGAAGAGAATGCCATTGGCAGACAGACGTGTGACAGGTTCTGGTCACAAGGTGTCAGCGTTGGCCACAATTTTCTCCCTGCGTACTCTTAATTTCGGCGAAGCCTTTAACCCTTTCCATTGCAAATTAAGGAATCGCACGATAAAAATTTTACTTAAGCATTTTCCATGCTTTCTAAGTCTTGATATGCTGATGACACTTTTATTTTCACGAGTTAATCAATTTTAAAAATGAATTCTAAGCATGGCATGTCTTCAAATGGAGACATTGCCGAGTAGAGGCAACTTTTATGAGGAATTTTCGGAAGCGGAAGAGAGCCCGAGTTATATTCCTGAATATGCAGGGTGTCAGATATGTCACTGACTCATTTGAAAATTATTATAACTTTGTTAATGCGATAGTAAATAATTTTATTCTGAGTAGATAATGTAAACAAAGGATTGAGGTTTTGAGTCAAATAAATCAAATTTATACATATGTACCAGAATTGGCGGCACAAGCTTTTTGTGACAATTCTTAATAGTGCTTTTGCTAAGCGTGACGTGCAAAAACAATTGCGTTTTCTTCCGAGGATTTGCTGGGACAAATCCTCGGAAGAAAACTTTTCAAGCTGACAGCTTATATTGAATCGAAATTACGTAAAGGCAGAGCGAAAATTGAAACTTCCATAGAACACTTGAGCGAGAGAAGAGGCGCATCCAGCAAGAGGAGAAAAGTTGTGATCTGACGACTTCCTCCTCTTGAGAGTTTCCGGACTTTTATCTATACGAACTTCTTGCATCTAACACCTAGCGAATACCATGATTATGTATACAGTATCTTATGATTATTTATAATATACCCAGCAAACATAATGGCGTTGTGAGAACGTTCAGCCAGTGTCAATACAGTGTTATCAACGCTGAAGGTTCAAGTCCAACGTTGCATGACTGTCTTAGCAGCGTTTTGACATTATGATACCTTCTTAAATTGCATTTTTAGATAATATTTCTGGTAGTATTATCGCGAAATAGGGAATCCAATTGTTTTTCAAGGAACGACCGAGAACCTATCCAGTGTTACCAACCAACGTTGACGGAATGCTTATGCTTCGACATTCAGCAGCGTCATTTATCAGGGATTCTAGGAACGTGTCGTAAGATGAAAACCGCAAAGCGCCATAAATCGTTGAATCGCTGTTCAGAAGAAGCTCTGATATGGAATATGTCTGTGCTTGTTGGAGAATGTTCAACCAATCTTGAACTTCGACCTACAAACCACGCCAGTAGTACTAGATATTAGCTCAATGCTGAACCAACATTGGGCACGTTGTCGTCTTGCCATTATTGCCAATATTGGCTAAAATCGGCTTCCCAATATTATCATTCCATCCATCATCGATTCAATATCGAACTGACGCGACGATTCAATGTGCAAAGTTGCACTTATCAGGTTTTTTTGTGGAAATGTTGAAGTTCTTCTCCAGGTCACTAGATGGCGGTATGGGTCTCGCTTTTCGTACTGTACACAAAAGTGTACTTCCTTCTTTCCATGGAATCATCCCTCGCAGTAGTGATTAGTAATTCATCGTGTGTCTTTCCTAGCCTCATTATAGCAATAAAAAAATTGGACACTTAATCATTTATTATCCCCATATTCCAGACAGAATCATGGAGCCCAGGCAATAAACAAGCTCATACTGTATTACTAATGAGAATCCCTTACATGCCAATAATCCAACATTATGAGTTAACATAACTCGATTGTGGACATTGACTTTGCCTTTCGCGTCCTCATCTTTGAGGCTTTAGACTTAAGGGTATATCGTAGGGTAGGAAAGGGAGGTCTGTTCCCTGGAAAGTTCTAGGTTTAGTACTTTCAGCATATCTTGTATATTCCTTGATAGTCGTAATTGACCCGGTTCTAGGGGCGCTACTGGGGTCCCTAAAAACAATTTGACACAAACAACGTTGAATCAGAATTGAGTAAACTTTGGTCCAAAGTAGCCTTGTTTGTCCGGGAGTGAGTGTTCCAATAAGCGACATCATAATGTTGGCCCAACGTTCAGCCAGTGTTGAATTTCAACGCTCATCTGAGTATTGCGATAAGCGACATTGAAATATTGACTAAATGTTAGATGCAACGCCACCACAACAGTGGGAAGGTTTAAAATTGACGTTCATACAACGCTGATTGAATGTTCGTTTGTATGCTGAGAAGTTTGCTGGGGGGGGGGGGGGGTTGGTGCAAGTCAAGTTCAAGATTGGTTGAACATTCCCCAGCAAGCACAGACACGTTCCATGTCAGAGCTTCTTCGGAACAGTGATTCAACATTTTGTGACGCTTTGCATATTTCATCTTACAACACGTTCCTAGAATCCCTGATAAATCCCAGCAAACAAGGTAACGTTGGATCAACGTTATATCAACGTTCCGAACGTTCATTCAATATTGATTCAACGCTGATTCAACATTATGTGTTTCAAATTGTTTGCTGGGATGACATTGCTGATCGTCGAAGCAGAAGCATTCCGTCAACGTTAGTTTGTAACACTGAATAAGTTCTTGGTCGTTTCTTGAAAAAAAAAAAGAAGGTATCCCCTATTGGACTGGCACCTTACCAGAAATATTATTCACATATGCAATTTAAGAAGGTATCATATTGCCATAACGTTGCCAAGACATTCGTGCAACGTTTGACTTGGACCTTCAACGTTGATGACATTGTATTGACTCTAGCTGAACGTTCCCACGACGCTATGTTTGCTGGACAGGCCCTGGCCTCCGGTACGCGATTGTGGGCAGGAGTCAACTGTCTGAGGCCGGACTCACTCGTTTTGCGTCAATAGCGAATTAAGCCAATGGTTCTCAGAGATTCATTTAGATATCTTTATGGATATTTCCAAACTGTATGGGAAAGTGCCTCCTGAACATTTTTGAGGATGCCGGGCCTCCCTTGCCTTCCCTGATGAGCCGCCACTGGTGCGATCTCATGCGAAAGCACTATAGATCTTCCGCAATCATGCCCACCTTAAATCAAGAGTTAAAATACGCCCACTGACCACAGGGTTCTAGCAGAGATCCACGTAAATGACGTTCACCTCTCCACGTGTTTATCTCTCTGCTGATGACCCCCTCCTGATTCGTTCATTGAATTAAACATACCAGAGATTCAGTCATTTTCAGACTTTTGTTCAAGTCTATGTTCAGGCCTATGAATAACCTGCGAGCTGGAGGTGAATTTTATCAATTACATTATTACTTTAATGAGAAGGATGGAATTGTCTCCTGGAAACTACACATTTTCTAGTTATTTATTTCGCGGAAAACCTTTCTTTCTTTACATGCCTGATGCGATGAAGCAGATTCAAGCATCGAAGATATCAATCATGGCGACAGCCAGCATCGCGTGACAGTCATGCCGGGTGGCTCTTGAATGCGGCTTGGATGTTGAGGTAGACTTAGACTATGGTAGGCCCTAATCATCAATTACAAGTTAGACATACATATATCAGATAAAAAGCATATCTCCAAAAGTTTCTTCTTTAACGGATAGCAAGAAAGTATGCTCATATCGAAAAAAGGACCCCTGGACATTTCCAGCCACTAATTACATGGAACTTCACGCATTTCGATGATTCGACGGAAGCAAGAAAAAGGGTTTGAATGAAAGAAAGAAGGAAAAAATCATTATTCTTGTCACTAACAGGGCAAAGGTGGACAACCAACCATAATGGATGTTGGATAAACCAACATTATTTCAGGTACCCTTACTTATGTTACATAGTTCTAGTGGTCATCAACTAATTACAATTTTTCATTACCCCTCTATGGTTCACTGGATGCCATGATGTGCATGAAGTTAATAGAATCAATCTTCCAACTGAATCATACCCATCATCTTTAAGTTATGATTGGTATTTCCTGTGAAATGATGTTGGTTCATTTTTCAGTTTTTTTTTCATTCAATTTTATTAACCCTGTCTCAGTTAAGAAAAACCTTCTTGCTTGGGCTGAGTGGTGGGGGTTGGGGAAGGAGAGGGGGAAAAAAGGAGGTTTTTCTTAAATGAGACAGGGTTAATAGCTGGTTGAATTTTCTACTTAAGACTTTTCACAGCTACAGTCTAGATTATCAGGTAGTAGTTTTTCTGTGCATATGTTGGACATGATTAGTGTAACTGCTCATTGCATGCATTGCACACATTTTTGTTGAATGTACACAAAAGAAAGTATGATTGCTTATTCCATGAAATGAGCAAAAACTTTGCCTATCACACACATTCCTCTTGCTTTTTTTTTTTTTTTACACAATAAGCAAGTGGAGTTCTGAGGAGGAAGTGGAGTGGAGTGTTGCAAAGCCAATGGATGTGAGGAAGAATGAAGTCATCCATATACAGGGTGGTACAAAAAAAGTATATACTAATGGAAGTGATATGAGGTAACTCTAGACTCCTCACTGCATGCATAAAGAAGAGAGCTGCCAGCTTCATTTGGGCTGCTGAGTCATATCAGGTCAATGGCTTGTCATGCCAACATTAGCTCTGAGATATGTATTAAAATTTGTATATCAGTGCTTCATTGATATCAGGAATGTTTAGATGGATATGTTGGCCAGTTTGAATCTAGGAGATGAACAGTCTTCAGTAAATCTGTATAATGAATTGCAAAATATAATTTTTAAATAAAGATAGTTTGCATTTTTCAAATTAAGAAATGTTGTTTTATTCAATATGTACTAGTGTATACATTCTTTTTGCACACCCTGTATAAACTAGATGTAGAATATGAAGTGCATCACTCTTTGAATTTTTATAACAGGAAATCAGTCATTAAGGTAATGTTTGTTCCAGGATGCATGCATCCACATCTTATCTCCCATGCAAAATTTTAAATGAATTCTTAAAGTGTATATACAAGGTTGACAAAAAAAAGTAAGCCACTCAAAATTTTGTTATAAAATCTATATATTTGAATGAATTGAATTGAAAATGTAATGGTACATCAATTAATGTGTTCCCCAAGAGTTGTTTAATTTAATGCACCTGTGGCTAACCATTCTTGAGTTATGGCAGATCTTGTTGAAATGGTCATAATTCTGAGTGAAAGGGCATGCAACTGCTGTTGCTAAGCATGAGTCCATATTTTCAAGAGTATACCTGAAAATGTACACACATGCATGAAATTTTCAGATGGGGAAAAACACATTTGACAATATCCCAAGTTTTCATTACCTGTAAACAGGAACAGATTTTTATTTTCCAACTTTTTGTTTGACTTGTTAATGAAATTGATTTTACCATAAGTTGGGAGGTGATAACTAGCAATTATGGCTATGTGGTCTAAATTTAACATCTTGCCAGAGATATATTGAAGGACCTTCAGTGTGTGGTCATTTCCTCTGGTTTTGTTCATTCTTTCCAAAGGACAAATGACTTATGTGTGTGAATTGGATATTTTCAAGACTAGGGTAGAGGTGCCAGTGTATAGGTGGGGTCATGTATTTGTGAATAAGTTCACGTCTTCTGCCATCCTAATAAAACTCTTGCCAAATATTCATATAATTGATTGCTCAATATTTTGTGCATGCCTATTAGCCTTCATTAAAGATATGAATTTCCAGAGTAGGTTTTGAAGGATGACAGAAAACATTAAGTTTTCCACTAACAAGGACAAATTTGTGAAATGGTGTCTCTTACCAAGTCCCAAATGTTTGTTTTTCACTTGGCAAATCATACCAACTTACAGCTGAAGGAATTGTCTGGATTGCCTGATATTTTTTTTAGATTTTCCTCATGATTCCTTTTTCCTTCCAGGTGAATGCACAACCCAGATCAGGTCCTTGCTACTTTTGATCTTCAATTCATGTGACTTCCAAATGGATACACCCTTAGTCTTTGTCACTGGAAATGAGAGAAAGCTGCAAGAAGTTGCAAGTATTCTTGGTGAGGACTGTCCCTTTGAGGTGAGGCATCCCAGATCATAGGCCAGTTGTACCAGAATTGGCCCACCAGCATAATTTTATATTGCAGTTGATAAGGCAAGACTTAGATCTGAAGGAAATTCAGGGATCTGAAGAGGAAATATGTCAAGCAAAGTGTCTAGAAGCTGTTCAGATTGTCAAAGGTCCTGTTGTGGTGGAGGACACCAGCCTTGCTCTCTCTGCACTCAACGGTCTACCTGGTGGGTTACATGTGCTTCAATCATGTATGCTAGGAGTCTCTTCTTGAATGCATTTCATGCAGCTCTGTTCACATCATACATCTTTGTTCTTTACTCTATAGGACCATATGTGAAATGGTTTCTGGAGAAGATTGGGGCTGAAGGTATATATAGAATGCTGGAGGGCTTTTCAGATAAGATGGCTGAAGCTATCTGCACTGTAGCATACACTTCAAATGAATCTCAGCCTATTCATCTCCTTCAAGTAGGCCTATACAATTTTCTAGTTGTGAGTAGATGCTAGCCTAGAGTGCCAAACTCCTACTGCATAATACTACCACTTGATTTTCTCAGCTTTTGAGTCATTCATAAAAATTTTAAGAGGCCAGAAATGTATATTTTGAAAATTGCCTCCCACTGGAGAAATTTCAATGTAGAGAACCTAGAAATTCCTTTTGGAACAGTCTGGACCAAATATTTTGCAGGCTGAGTGAAACCTGTCAGACTGTACTACCAGCAATATATTTATTTGGTATCTAACTTTACACAAAGTTTTCAGCAAGGAAGTTGTATGTGTTAATACTTAGAAAAGTTGCTGATTGTAGAATTTTATTTCATGTGTTATTAACCATGAACAACTAAGAAATTCATGTTGGAACATGAATCTCTCAGTTGTTCAATCATACAGAAGTTTTGCACTGTAGTTTATAAGTGTTTCACATTATCTCATATGACTGCACGGTCAGTCACTCAGGAACTGTTTGTATATTTCACAGGGGAGGGTTCGTGGTGAAATTGTCGCACCAAAATTACAAGGAGAGCATGTCTTCGGTTTTGATTCCATCTTCAAGCCTGATGGGCATAGTCAGACTTATGCAGAAATGTCATTGTCTTCCAAGAATGCAACCTCACATCGTTACCATGCATTTGAAAAATTGAAGCAATTTTTTGCTGCCACTGATAGTGCTTCAGTTGTTCTGATATGAAGTGCCAGTATTTTATTCAGAATCCATGTATATGAGTGTGTTTTTGTGAGTTGATTGAACTAATTACCATTGGTATGGCAAGAAACTATATTTGAAATCAGCAGGTTGGATGTGCCTTTCATTTTCACTGATATGACTATTCAAAATAACAACTCACCAATTGCAACTGGAAACTTCTTCATCCATTCACATAGCTTGTATTATTTGATATGAATCGAGTAGAAAAAAAAAGAAACCTAAATTCACAAGAAAAGGAAATGTCACCCACACATTTTCCTTCCACATCCACAAGTGATCTGTCAGGCCATATAACTCCAATTTCCATCTAAGTGTCCAGGTTCACAGTTCCATGCCCCACCAGATGACAATAGGAAAAATGACTGTCTCATGTTGTTTTTAATATTGTGCACTTTGATTCCCACAATGGAATGAAATTCCCAGCTGGGGTGGCAGGGGATCAAGAGGAGGTCATATGACCAATGATCATAATTCAGTGCGACCACTGGACATCCGTGGACCTCTTCCTACCTTGGGCTTCTTTTTTTGCTTTATATTCTCTTTCCAGTCCTCTTCTGAGGAAATGACTAGCTTTTCACTAGTAGGATCCCCAATAGTTTGACGGAATGGGTTCTTGTAGTTGGGGTCTAAATCTCCAATACCAAGCTCCTGTGATGCCTTTGTCATTTGGAGCAACAAGTACATCAGTATCTGAACAGCTTCAACAACATAAAATGCATTCATTGTGAAACAAAGTCTGACTTACATAATGCAGAAGGGTCCTATACTCTGGAGTAAGAAATCCTGTCTCCAGTGAAAAGGTAATTCCCCATGTAAGTAGTAGTTTTCCATGGTTGTCCTTGTCCAAGAGTTGCTTTGTTGGGTGTGGAAACCTCAAAAGCCACTCTGCAAACATGCCCGTATTCTCAATCACCAATGCCAGTGCTATATCAGGTCAAAGAAGATTCAATAAGCTACTATTCCATGGCCATGATGGAGACAATTTAGTAAGAGTTCCAGTGGAAGCATACCCTCCTGGATGTTTCTCATCTCAGGGAATTCTGAACCAGGAATGAAGCCAGATTCTTGCAGAATGAGCCTGTTCTTCATCACAACCTGTACAATTGATGAGTGGATTGTTTTCCAGGGCTGTGAATTTGCCATTTTTTTAATTCAGGGTTCAAACCATCCCTCTGTGATACCTTGCCCAAGTCATTTTCAAGACTAACCTAGGCACACAAGGCCTACCTCTTTTAATTTCTCCCAAATAAGAGCAGTTAGTTTGGGAATCTTTGAGATGTTGTCATTCCCCTTCATGAGATCATTGAGAGACAGGACTTGTAGCATGTGTTTCTCCTTCAGTAATCGTTGGACTATGAATTAGGTCAAGGAAGGATTCAGCTGTTCTGTGAGGAGTTACAAGCCTACAATAAAAGTAAAGTACACAAACTACAACTCAGTAATTGGTAAATTTGTGTTTTCAATACCTACAAGTATTTTTTTGCATTACTTGGTAAATGGCATTCCCATTACCTGAACCTTAAATTAAATCACATTTCTGGGAGTTCTTTTGTTTGCTCAATTACATGTTGTCACCTTCATGTGCGAAGGCTGTATCTTGACTATTTAATATTTCAGTTAGCATTCAACAGTTTCTCTGCTCAAACTGTTATGGAGCAGGATAGGGCATATTTGCTTAATAATTCTGTCAAACAGAAGTGGAATCATTCACAGCAGTCAACTCCCCTCCAGAGCCAGAAGTATGACCTGAAACTGCAATACCACCTTTTTGCCCATCATCTTCATCACATTCTTACCAGATACAACTTCTTTGCAGGAAGAAATTTAGACCAATCAAAATAGAACTTTTTGTCACTTGACCATTCTCCTAGCCTCATGATTGCTTTGGAGATATATTGTCACACACTATGGAGATTGTGAAAAATGAACTTTTGTACTGAAAAAGCTGATTTCAACATCCAGCTGATTAACATCTGATACAACCTTTGCACACGAAGGTGATGATATTTGGGTTGCATACACTGTATGTGTAGCGGTAGCTTGAGTATGTACTCAAGCCCTGACTATTCACTGTTTCTGGGTTATTTCACCATTATTTATGTAACCCCTACCTTCAATAGTTTTCATTTGACATTTTCAACAAACTACTGTCTTCAGGTAAACAGTCCCAATTTTTATAAAATAGAGAGAGTGGCAGATTTTTTTTGCAGAACAATGAAAGGGCTAATGCATTCACACCTGAAAACATGCTTGCATGCTATAGCATTTTGATTCCAATTAAAAGAAATTCCAGGAAAATCTCTCAGCCATGACTGAGTATCCATAAGCATGTTAGCAAATGTTCAGCTTTATTTTGAAATGGAAAACAACTAGAACTGGTGAACAATTCAAGAAAAAATTTAGATAGAGAAACCCTTTGCCACAATTCAAATACTGACACATTGGGGAACAATAACAGACTTGCTCTGCTTTGGGGTTCCATGAACTGGTTGCTCCAAATAAAACTTCTAATTGGTCAACAGAAAGATTTATAAATCACATTAAATGTTGATGCAGCTTGTGACAGCTCCGATCACAATTCCTCAGCATTTGCCAAACAAATTTGAAAGATCTTGAGTTTATAACTTTGAAGCAATGCTCTGGGAAATGAAGTAATAAGTATCATGTAAAGAATTCTCTTGATTTTCAAATGATCTAGCCCACATTGCAATCTGACTACTCAATCATGAGTTATTACAAATCAAAAGGTGGGCAGGACCTTTGACTCAATATGCAGAAACTGCCCCCAAGCATCAAAATAAGATTTTCTTGGAGTAAGAATTTATAAGTAACATCAAGCAACTACTGTGGGGAAAATTACTGGTATAATATGGTGAGGTCCACCACTCACAGCCCTACTGATGATGAATTAGTCAGACCAATATCCGAATGCTTACCAGGCCTAGCATCCATCCATGTGAATAGAAATGAATCCAATTGAAGGCATAAGTGGAGGGTTATTAGGGTGGATAGATGAGTCTGATAGTTTTCTCATATGAGGAAAGATGATACTACTTCTGGAGGTGCAATGATAGAGCAACTTCATCAAACTGGTAGGTCAGTATTATGCAGGAGTCTAGGAAGTGTGGTATATTGCTCACTTCCAACATGCAAGTATTTTACAACCATGAATCATGTGATGTATTGGATATTTACATTTGCAGATCATCTAAATAAGTGCTTTTAACAATATCAGTGGTCACTTGATGGCAGGAACAGATTGACTCACTTGTCATATATTTCACGAAGCTGAAGCAAAAAGAGACCTGACATTGCAAATACTGATATGCTATGTAGGGCATGGATGGTCTTTCATGAAAAAAAAAATTAAGAGCCCCATTTCCACTACCTGCCTCCATTGTAAATAAACAATATGAATGTTTCAAGGAAAATTTCACTTTTCTCTTCATACATATCTTATCATCTATGATGCAAATTTATTTTAGTTCCATATCACAGATGCAAAAACTTCCAACTTGGAGCAACCCCTGATCAGGAGTTCTACTTTCCTGATATGATACCTAAGTACCAATACCAATATTAGGTGTGTCTGAGAATTCAGATACTGTACCTGCTTTTGAAAGCCTCAAAAGTACAATACAAAAGCACAAGTATTCTGACATTGCTAATAATATATATATATCTAATACATTGATACATCTGATACAACTGATACATATCATACAAAATCAACTGGTTTGGGTTTGGAATACCAAAAGGAGTTCACATAGATATTATCACCTCCTTTTTCTCAACTTAGAGAGATTTCTGACAACTGTAAATATAGAAAAGCATTCATGGAAGGTACCATCATCTAGAATGAGAGGAGACAATCATATTTCTTGCAGATGGAGTATATAGATAAAGACTGAGTGCTAATTGAGATGACCAAGATCTTTAGCAGTTGCCCCCTCCAAGGTTTAAATACAAGCATTAGAAGTAATAAATTAGTAAATAGGAAAGATGAACTGTTCAGATTAGTTTTCTTTATGAATCTAACTATCACCTTTTATGCATGCTAGCATATTTTCTATCATCAAACCATGAGCATACAATTCTGTCCTATTTACAGCCTGCTGATAATAGAAGATGGGAGGATTCTTTGGTTCAAATAACACATCACATGACTATGCAGATCATTCATCCAAAGCACCACTACAACGCAAAATGACAAAAAAAAGTTATTAAACATTTTGCATGAGGACAGGGTAGAAACGATCCTGAAAACAGCCCAGACAGCAATTTATTACATAATTTTATTTCCCTTTTTCACACAAAAAGAAAAAAAGTTGTAGATGATTTATTTTCATAAAAATTTCATAGTAATTACATGTGGGGATGATCTTAGTTGCTACTTCTTCTTTGTGCTCCTTTAACCCACCAAATGTTTCCAAATTTTGAGCAAAGCAAAAAAGTGGAAAAATGCAAACTTTGCCATATTTGAAAACAGCATTTATGGGGAAATTCTTTGATTTTGCTATATTCAAAGAGCATGGAATCTTCCTTATATAGGAGTGGAAAGGAAGATTCCTTGGTCTTCAAATATGACAAATTCGAATTTTTCCGCTGACATGCTCTGTTCGAATATGGAAATGCTCAGCTTGTTAAGGTTCATTTTTTGAGTATGTGAATGGAATGCTTAGGAGATATATATGTCAGCAGGTTATTTAAATATTTAAAAAGCTATCTGCAATTTGATATGGGCCCTGAGCTTCCCACAATTTTTAAATCTATACTTCTTCTTGGGAGGTAGTTGTCTTGCTAGCCATAAGCTCTCAGAGTGAATTGTCCTATGAAGGAAAAGGTTGCATAAGTAATTCCTTTTATTTCCTTTGCTAGCTGAAAAAATGATTAAATGTGAAGGATACACGTTTCCAGGTGGTCAACACGTCCATCCTGTGAAGCCTCTCCAGAGACACCTGGACCCTTCAATGACTTGATATCACTACTGAGCATGAATACAAGCAGAACTGATGGGAACTGACTCCAAACAATCCTGATTGGCATAGTAGTTGGGTCTTGAATAGCATGAGATTGAAGATCAATCTTGAGGAATTCAATGAGTCATTGAGGTATTGAAAGCATCATTCATGCTGTAACACTAATAGTACCCATGCAGCTCATCTGGTTCATTGCTCATTTCTGAAAGAGAAAGTTTTCAGATGGAATATGCATAAGCAAGATTCTTTAATTCCTCAGAGAATCCATGTCAAGAACAGTCTGAAGAATCTTGTTTTGTGTTATTGGAGCAGGATACCATTCCTTGAACAAAGTAGACTGGAAAATGCTTAAGTTTCACAAATGCATGATTCAGCCTTTCTCTGCTGCAGATGTACCTCAAATGGTGGGATTGGGAATCCCACCACACTTACAGTTCTTTTATAATATAACTCACAACCTCTTCCAACCTCTCCCTGTTTGAAGCATGGTAGGGAAATGCAAGGTGATAAATCTCTTGTGTGCTGGCATGAAAAAAGTTTAGCACAGCATAGAATTTTTTATAATAATTCATTGCCACCCTCCCCTTTTCCCTACATTGACTACAATTGACACTGGCCAATATGCACAGATCAAAACTGGCCTTTGGTTCATAGGCAAAAAACCCCTATCAGTACAGTCCTACTGTGTGCACAGAAGTGCTTTCAAGATCTTGAAAACATTTCTGTACATAGTGCAACTCTTGAACTAGGACTCCACTCTCAATTACATAAACTTTAGAAAGTTTAACATGGCTTTTTCGGCATCTGACATTCAAAAACTCATATTGACCAGAGAAGAAATCAATAGCAATAAATCCATTAAAACCTTATGACATATACCTAACGTTAGACTATTCAGGCTTTCGACGTTTTAAAGCGGAGTACCGTATCGAGTATTCCCAGCTAGAAAACTGGAGAGGGTCTTCCCTGGATATTGCCAATAGTAAGTCTATAATATCACGCAACTCACAAAATGTTCGATTGCGCGCAAACAGCGACATGGGACCGAATATGCTTTATGATATCCACCTAGTCAGGGCCGGATTAAGGTTATGAGAGGCTGAACAGGCCTAAGGCTAAAGGGAGGGAAGAGCCTAAGTATGAATTACATATTGCAACAACAAAAAAATGGAATGGAAGGCCTAAAACTATGAGGGCATAAGGCTATGGGCCTATGGCTATAGCCTTATTAGCCCATGGGTTAATCCGGTGTAGTGCCATATCTGTCCTCCGTCAAAAAAATTCCCCCAGCAACGAGTCTAAACCACGTGCTTTAGCATTGCCTTGCCAGTGCTGCTGCGTTCACGTGGCGCGAGCATTTCGAACTTGTGGTGTATCTTTGGTAGATTGAAATTGAATTGTTTTCATTTTCAAGATTTATTTCATCCAAAAGGTAACAGATTGAAATTATTCCCTTGTTTCGATGACTATAACTTCATTCGCGACGACAATGGGATTGTGTGGTCTTTCATGACCAGGTCCAGCGAAGTTACGGAACCTCCAGTGAGCAATATTTTCCAGACGTGGTAAACACTAGGTTTGCACGCCTTGGCCCTACCTAGGTCTGATACTCCATCATTGAGGAAATGTCGACCCGCTGTAGGTTGAGTGGTATCCTTTAATTTAACTGTTTAGCTCGGCAATAGTTTTCATTTTACCCATGAGAAGTGTAAATCCAAGATGACGACGTAAATTTTTTTTTTATTACAAAAAGTGTGGGGAAGAAATAGCCGTAATCAATTTGATGAAAGCACGATTTCTCACAATGCCACTAGGCAAGAATATGCAAATGAATTCTTACCAGACTGAATGAGCCCCATTGGTCTGATGTCATATCTACCATTAGTACTCCCTCATATCATGGGATGCATTGCAAGAGGGACAGTCGAATTTGGTTTAAATTTTGAGCATAAATATGCATGTTGGCTTGTGCCCAAAGTGCTATGAAGGATGAATGGTAACAATGGCATGTGGCTTATACAAAGAATTGACTTAAGTAAATAGACTCCCACTAAGTTTCAAATGGGCCATTCAAGGGAAACTTGTTGAACACATTATTGATAACTGTGAACAAGTACACAGCAAAGGATTGAAGCATTAACCTTAGTAGTATCTAGCCAGTGCTACATGTGGTTCCAGAATAAACTGATGCTCTTTCAAACTTGAGTGTCTCTTTATCTTTGTATATCCATATGCTTATGTATGTTAGCCTATTCAATTAATGCCCAAGTTAGGCATGTCACAGTCCTAAGTTTATGATATATATAGCCTATGGTAGGCCTCAGTGGCATGTTACTATGTTGCAGATGTCTTCCATGCAGTGCATCAGCCTATTTATACTCCTATTTATCTTGGAATTAGTGGAGGGAAGTTGTAAACTCCTACACGATGCTCCCAATTGCTACCTTGGCTCCCTCACTCCTTACTCCCTGGCTGTTGAAGCCAATGATGAGGAATGGAAATGCCCAGGTAGGCACATCCATACAATCCCAGGCTATTAGGGCTTAACTCCCAGATACATTCTCTTCCAGATCATGAGGTATTGAACAATTGCCCTTCTCTACATTTGTTTCTTTTGCCACTTTATACCATTTCTTCCTGATTTCATGTGAACATGAATGTCTTGCTGTTTTCATATTGATCCTCTCACCTTGAAAGCACAGGTTGCAAGGCTGTATTTGCCTGGGTCATGGTGAGACATGGGATCCGATACCCAGCAGATAAGCGGATCCCTGGGCTCAAGAAAGTCCTTCATTCTTTACAGGATGGAATCCTCCAGAATGGTATTTAAAATTTCTGCATTTTACCTCATGTTACTTGCGTTTGCTTAAGATTTGGGGTATATTTTTTGTTCTAATCTTCCAGGGAGCTTATCAGAAGAGGAGAGGAAACTCTTCAAGGAGTGGAGCATGGAACATGTTAAGGAAGGTATAGGTCACTTTCTTCATGAAGCAGGAGCCACTGAAGCAAAATGGCTTGGCGAGAGATACAAAAGGCATCTCCCTCAACTCTTTCATGGTCACTTCAATCTCAACCACTTCATGGTTTGTTACAGCTGTAGTTTTTTTTTCAATTATGAAGGTTTGTGCATTACTAGAAGCACCCAGTTAAGTGCATTGCAGCAATTTGCAGTTGAATGAGCAGTTGGTTCAACTTTGCAAAAATGGACAGTGTATTATACAGAGCATGTGGAGCTGTAGTGCTTCTAATAGTGATCAGGATTCCCAAATGAGTGTGACTTTTCTTTGATTATGTTATTTGTGAGTAGAAAACAAAAGCCTAACCCTCTCCTTTGTGAAAACACATCTGGGAGAGGAAGAAAAGGATGCTAGAGATCCTTAATGAAAAAGCCTCTGGAAGTCAGACCCTCTATGCAAGGATCTCACCTGGATCCATGTCCAGTAGACTTATGGGTAAGCAGCCTTATAAGACTAAGACACCACATGGATCACTTATCTCAAACCTAACCCACCAAGTAAATTACCCCTGTCATTCTTACTGGGAGACTAGACTTACTCTCTCTGTCCTACTTTGCTGATTTCCATCATACTGTTCCTGTTGACGTGTCTGCTCATAAGCCCAGTCCTACTATATAGACAATGTAGTTCCAGCCCACCAAGATGACAGAGCCTGATAATAATGGGAATCCATACTTGAGACTAATGGTGTGTTGCTTCTGAATCCTGGTTCTATCCTAATTAAAAGCACTTTTCTACTTAAAGGTGTTATGCTTTACATCTTGAGATCTCCTTCATTATAGTGGAATGTAGAAAGATGTGGATTTCTTGTAATTCCTTGTTCAGGTGAGGCATACACCTACACAAAGAACAAGAGAGTCAGCTCTCCACTTCTCCATTGGGTTGTTTGGAGAATCGGCCAGAGAACAATTGATAATGGAGGAAACTGAAGTCTCTGATGAAGTCCTAAGGGTCGGTCAGTCTCTACTCTCTCTCTCTCTCTCTCCTGCCCTTGTTCCTCATTTCATGCTGTTTTGCCTAATTAACTATGTCAATGTTATTTTGTGACTTGATAACGAAAGTAGTTATGAATTGCAATATCAGCTTGGTAATATGGTTCTGAACCATATTACCACTCAACTCAGTTTGGTTCAGAAATAAAATGTAGTAAGGTGGAGCAAATTTATACCTGGGCTGGAAACCCCTCAACAAGTCTTTTCAAATGGTGAATCATACACAATACATTTTTTTTGCTATGTTGGAGCTACAGAGCTCTATAGTCTATGAGTTGCATAGACTTCTGGTCTGTGAGACTTAAATGTTTGTGCAGTCTAAAGCTTGAAATCCAAATCTGTGGTGTGGATACACTTTTATTCAGTTGCTTCTGCATTGAAGATGTTGCACCAGAGTTAGAGAGTTCTAGCTTCATTGTCACTGAGTAAATATCTTATGAGAGGAACTGGTAAGTTCTATCTGGCATGAATATGAAAGGATACACGGTGCTGCCAAGCCCAAGGGTAGGTGTACATCCCCCACCTCAAAAAATGAAAAGCGTTCTTACCTTATTGAGAAAAACTTGGCCCAGCTTCTTTTGGACTTTTTTTCTGCAGATGAGTTATTTGCCTTATAGCATTTTCTAAGATGTCTTTTGTCTCACAAAAATTAACTTTATGATTATGTTATTACTATACAGGGTGTCCCAAAAGGTGTGGAAACATTTCAAAAATTGGCTCCACATCATTTCACTGCAAGTAACTTCTATGTCAGACAAATGACTGCCAACATTTCACTGCAGGCAATTTATTCACATGCGTCAATTAACTGTGTCATTTCACTGTGATTCCCTTTTCATTGCATCCAATTTCGCTGCACAAATCATCATGGAAGTGACGAATATTGAAATAAAACAGGTTAATAATTGTCACACAATAGGAAAATCCCCTGGAGAAAAATAGGGGAATTGTTCAGAACTGAAGGGGGGATAAGTTCAGAACTGAAGATTATGCGTGATACCGTACAAATTTGAAAGGACATCCCTTGACTGCTGCTGTTCAACCAAGGTCAGGAGGCAATCATCGGCTGCCTTGCATTTTTTTTTCTGAGGCCGAGGATGGTCAGAGAGTGCCTCCACTACTCTGACCTCCTGGCATCCCTGCTCATTAATCAAATATGTGAGAAACTTCCAAAGCGTTGGGTGTGCACATCTCAGACCTCCTTGGAATACATTGTGCCAGGCTTCAATGGCATTGTTCGTGCAAGGAAGACCTTGCACAATGCAGTCGTGAATGTTCCAAAAGCCTATATCGAACATAGAGTTTGCTTGACCTCTTCTATGAGGACATCCAATTTAGGTCTCCTCGAAGTGAAGAAACTGCAGGGAGAAACTATACTCAAAGCTCAAAACCACTGTCGTTCATACATGTCCTAGACTTGCCCTTGGGAATGAATGGAGAGCAGTGAGATGAGATAAGCAAAAGAAAATGGAAAAAGTCACGCCTACATGAAAAAGCCCCATGGTGAAAAGGGTGCTATAGGGAAAGGGAAGACAGCGAAAACATATATGCAGTGAAGTGATCTCAGTCAAATTGCATACAGAGAAGAGTCGTGGCATGTCAAAAATTATCTCTCTAAATAATGCCTCAAATAAAATGATTAAAACAGTAAAATGAAGTGCAACTCAAATATTTTTCAACCTGCTATTGCAATTCCACATGGGCACCTTTTGTGATTCTCTAGATGTCTAAGCGATGTTCGAGCTCTTACCACACCTTTTGCAGAGTGTTAGGCATAACTATCAGGATGGTTCGGACGATTTTGTTCTTTCAATCCTGATCGATTATTTATTTTTCTCCAGTAAGCAATGTCCTTGACATAGCCCACAGGAAAAAGTATTCTAGGGTTAGTTAAGGTGATCTTGGTGGCCATGGAATGAACTTGCTTTGTCCAATCCACAGATCTGTTTTTTTTTTCTATGCCTTAGCTTGCTAAAATGTGGAGTTGCAAAATCGTAGAAAATTAGGCTTTTATTGCGCCTGAACCCATCCCTCTTGGATTTTTTATTATTATTATGGGGCTATGTCATGGACATTGTCAACTTTTCTTGAGCAAGCAACCTCCAATCTGATTTGAAGAAATTGATACAGCTATCCAGGCAATTATACATGACACTATGTGTAAGTTGTGGTAAGAGCTTGAACATCATTTGGGTGTCTACAGAGCCACAAATAGTGCCCATGTGGAATTGCAATAACAGGTTGAAAATTTGCATTTTACTGTTTTCATAATTTTATTTGAGGCATAATTTAGCGAGATATTAATTTTTGATGCTTCCATACCTTTTTGGGACACCCTGTATTATTGTAGTAAATTAATACAGAAACCAATTTCCCAAAAAGTCACACACGGCCTTCGCTTTTCCAGCATCAGGATTCTGAGATTGCCAGGATAAACGCAGATAAACGCGATGTATCTATTACTCTCTTTCCTGAATCCTGTGATTCTTCCGATCGTGATTGACTAGAAGAATGAAAGTGTGCCATCCTGAGCAATTCACGTGGAGCTTGCATGTACTAGTATATACCACAGTGACTAGGAAAGGCCAGCATAATCTTCGCTCCTGGGAAAACCTTGAACCTTGAAGCTTTCGAGATTAGGATTTTTTTTTTCTCTCTGTAAGCCTGCATGATGATCTTAGCAAACATAGAAACAGGAAGGAATACATTTTCCGCAAGTTGTGCACTTGAGATTGAGTCAGTAATGAAAAAAAGAAGCAAAAATTCAGTCAAGACTTGGCAGGGGGAAAAAAAAATAAACCTTGACGAAAATGCTGCCAAACTGCCGATTCGCGCACAAATCGTTCATCAATGCAAGCATTGATGGACCATTCAGTACCTAAAAGATTATGAAAGCATGGGTTAGTCGCCGCTAGATATGCAGGATGTCTCATATCCATGTTCCGTCTCTCCCTTTTACGTCATGACAGGCTGGCTATCATCTTATTGGTTGACCAGACGCCGAACACGTCTCCTCCAAGGGTTGGGGGGATGAAACAGAAACTGTTGATCATTAAAAGCTGAATGGCGTTTCGAAAACGTTGGTTCTTGCCCAATTGGACAAGCATGCGCAATTGCAGAATGAGAAGCAAGGGATTTGACAGAAATGGACGAGGGGAGGGTAGCGGGTATGAGGTTGAGGCGGGAAAGAAACAATGGTGTGCGTCTTCCGGTTCTGTTCGCAGGACGAACAAGAACCAATGCACTCCATTTGGTTGTTGGACTAACGTTAGACCATGTCTAGGCCTACATTGCTTCTCATGAAAAAAGTATTAGAAAAGCACGCCAAGGTGATGTACAGTGCCAAAGGATGAATCTCAGTCAGTCATAGAAAGATTGAGCTTAGCTAAGGTGATGGCTCACAAACGGAACGGTGAGCAGAAGTCGTATGGCATTGGGTATTGGTCAAGATACTAACCTAATTTGCTTACAGAGACCTAAGAAAGAGGAATGAATCAGTTTGTATTAGTATGCTTAGGCCTACATATCCCAATCGGCCCACGATTGGAAAAAAGTGAACAGCCTAAGATTGCTTAGACCTTTGCCGTGACCTGACTGAGGACATGCCTTTGTCCAATCTTTCACGAGATGATATGAGGAAGGAATCAATCGAAGTTCTGTCTATTGAGAGGTTAATGCTCCAATATCTATTATTGTTTATGTACCTTGATTATTTACAATTTTTAATTGTTGAACTACTGGATTTCAGAAAAATTCCTAATGAGGGTCTCCTGGAATTATTTCTAAAAAAAAAAAAGCCCAGTAAATGAACTCTTCTTCAAAATTCTTCAACTTTGAGTACTAAGTGAAACTACACCCTCCAGTGTTGTAGAATTGTTTGTAGAAGCAATAAACCAGAAGGAAAAAAAAACTTGTTTCCTTGACCTCTTTTTCTTTTCTTGGATTCTTGTTTGAAAGTTTCCTTCAAAATTTTTTCCAATAATATAGGATATCAATATCGGTTATAGAATATTGGAATACAAAATATCATTTTATCGGAAAATTCTAATATCGTTACTTCCCTACTTACTGCAGGCCGCAGTCCTGCTGACCACAGCTGTAGCCATCAGAGCAGGAGCCATAGTAGCACAAACACCACCAGTTACGGCGGGCTGTATGTTATGCACCCTTGGCTTAGAAGATCAAAAGAAAGAAAAATACATAATTTTTCCTGAAGTTGGCAACAAGCATGCATTCTTTGCTAAATGAGAAAAATGAGAAACAGCCATGACTTATGAGCCAAACTATTTGGCTCATAAGTCACAGCTAAAACCCTATGGCTCATGAGCCATAGGGTTCCCTGCCCATGATCTAGCACATATGTTATTCATTGTAAGAGGGGATAATTCAGAGGGTAAACACTTTCTCCAAAGCCCCTAGGAAAGTGTATACCCCACACCCTACTTTGATTCATTGGTCATTCTTTCATGGGAATGTGTATCTGGAGATATTTTCTTGTTTGGAAATGGAAAATTTATTACCCATCTAGGCTGTGAAGCAAAATGTATCAACATTGGGAGTGAATGGCTTTCAAAGTTGAAACTTTCCTTTTTGAGTATTCACTTGCCTCTTCTATATACTTCAAATTATACTTCATATAACTCTCCATTGGTAAAATATGATTGCATCCTATACCTGAGTCACAAGTCTCAAAATAGGCTTACTTGTTTAGTTAAGTTCAAATCCTATTAAATTTGAGAATGTCAAGAGAGTTTCAAGATCCTGTTGTTATACCTTTCTTACTCCAGTAAGCTCTTTTCTCCTTGTTGAGTGAAGAATGATTTGCAAAAGGTGAACATTGAGATTTTTTGCCTTTGCAGCCTTATAAGAATTGCTCATCATGGTTGCATGAGGTAAAAAACAATAGCCAGACATATGTTGAAGTGGAACAATATGAGAAAGGACCTGAATTGGCAGAGGTAGTGGATCGATTACAACAGAAGACTGGAGTACTCAACCTCACTGTTTGTAAGTCCTTGCAAACATTCCATGATGGAATGGATATATGGTTTTTTTTTTGCAGATGGCTCACTTGTTAAATTTGGCACAGGGCAGGTGCAAAAGATGTATGATGCTTGTTCATATGAGACGGGATGGGATGGAGAAAGGATGTCACCCTGGTGCACTCTATTCACTCCTCAGGATCTCAAGGCCTTGGAGTTTGCTGAAGATTTAGAGCTATGGTACCGGGATGGACATGGTCATCATTTGACCTACATGGCCTCTTGTGGCATGACTAGGGATATCCATGATCACATCAGGTAAACTATATAGGCTGATGAATATGATTCTTGTTGTGCAGGGATACCCAAACTTTTCTACATCTCCATTGATTGGTGTACTTTCCATAACCCATAATGGATCTACTTCCTACAACCCAGACTAATTCAAGGCAAAATGACATGCAAGACACTGGCATTTATATTTCAACTTGAAATTTGCTTCCAAAGCAATGTTTTCCTTATTAATTCATAGTAAAAATGGTATTTGAACAACAATAAGAAACTTAGAGCTATTTCAGAGGCTAAGCATGAGTCTGTGCAATATGTATAGGCAGTTCTTTCATCAAGCCCATACAATTTGACTCAAAATTAGGGATGTAACGATATTATATCGGTATCGGTTATCGGGCCGATATTTACTAATCAGATAAATATCGGCATTCCGATATTTTGCTTCGTCGATATTCGATATCCAAGTGCATGATGAACGTCTGCTTCACTCAATATAAATGCAACGTAACCG